TACAGCTGAAAAGAGATGGCTCTTCTCTGCTGCCCCTTGACAGGTCACCCCTGTTTCTCAGTTTCCCAAGAGGCCTGTGCAGACACAGGGGATGCCATGCTTTTTTCTGGATGCAGTTACAAGGCTGTTGTAACAATTGACTCTACCAAAGATCTCATTCGGGGGGCTGATTCTTAGAGAGAGGTTGAGTCTGCAAACTCCAGCATGGATTGGGTGCTAAACAGGAACCTAGGAAGTTGCCTTAATTCCGAGAGGGACCACTGGCCCATCTCGCTCTGTACTGTCTGCACTGGCTGGCAGCTGCTCTCCAGGGTTTCAGAAAGGGATCTCTCCCTGACCTTTGTGGAGATGCTGTTGAGGACTGAGCGGTCTCCCTTCCCTATATAGTGCAACATTTGGTCCTCCTCCCCACGGCAGCTCTTTCCTTAGGCTCAGAGAACCGCATGCTGCCATCTTTCCTTTTCGACTTGTTTCTTTGCTCCCATTTTTGCCGCTCTGACCTTTTGTTTACCATGCGCTTCTTTTCTTTTTGTTACGTCCATTTTTTGCTTGTGTGTGTGTTCTGTGTGTGTACGTTTTGACACCAAGCCTTCAGCCTCCACTTCAGCAACAAAGCCTGCAGCAACAGCAGCAGCAGCAGCGAAAACCAAGGGCGCCCCCACTGCTGCCGCTCCCCCTGCCAAGCGGCCGGCGTCCACCACTATGCCAGGCCAAAACAAAAAAGCCACCAGCCCTACCGCAGCCACCACCCCTAAACGCCTGGCGACGAGCGCCGCACGACCCTCCTCCTTAACTCCTAAAGAGCCCAAACCGAAGGTAAGTCGCTTGTGTGCAAGGGGGGAGGGTTGTGGCTTTGGAGCCAGGTTGTCCTGTTGAGCACATCTGGGCTGTTGGCATCTCCTGCTCGGTCCCTGGATAAATTGCCATTGCTTTGTCCTCCTGTTCAGTGGTGCACCATTTGCCCTGCCGCCACTTCAGACCTTCCAGGAAAGCACATGGTGCATCGCCTCCAAATACAGGTCCAAAATCCACTCAGGAAGAAAGCTAGGGTGTCAGGGAAAATGGTAGAGTTGGAAGGGACCCTGAGGATCATCCCTAACCCCTTACAATGCAGGATTATGCAGCTGTCCCATAGGGGGATCGAACCCACAACTTTGGCGTAATCATCATCACGCTCTAACCAAGTGAGCTATCCAGGTCTCCTTAGCTTTCTGCACAGAGAGGGTTTGTGTATTAATAGAGGAGGGTTCGTTGGATCTGCATTGCCCTTGTACAGCTCAGGACGGAAGAGGATGAGGACAAAACTAGAATTCGGTGCCTCTGGCGCCACCTGCTGTTGGGCTCCCTTCCTTCTGCCCTACCAGTCCCAGTGGGCGCCAGCTACCAGAGCCGGTTCAAGACAGTTTGCTGCCTGAGGAGGACAAGATGGCGCCCTTCCCAAGGCCCTTAGAGGAGCCAATTGGACCAGCATCTTACCCCAATAGTGGTCAAAGGAATGCATCTTCCACCGCACTTGACGGCAGCTGGCTAGCATAGGGAATGCAGAGCACTCACAGCTCTGGCCCCTCCGCATCTGCCACCTGAGGCAGCTGCATCACTCTGCCTCATCACAGGGCCAGCCCTGCCGACTGCTTCTGGTCCCTGCCTGCCTCCCCTCCGTTCTCTGGGTGCGGGAGGGTGGGTGGTTCAGCAGCCCTGTTAAGATCCGAAGCGAAGGGATGAGCTATCCCTGAGCAGGAGCCATCGGAGCTTACATTTTAATGGAAATGCGGCCCTTTAGGTAAGTAACCTTAGCTTACGGTTCACGGTTCCCATAGTTACCAGGCCTCACTCATCAAAATCCTGACACTTTTTATAATTGACTTAGTGTGCCTGGAAACCAGAGCGGGCAGCAAACATAGGAGAACACTTTGGATCTTCGCCAGGAAAGGGCTGTTTAATCCCAAAATATGTCACCGGTTCTAAATTGCCACTCAGCAATCAGAATCTGCTCTAAAGTATTGTGCAAGGAAAGGAAACCTGTCAAACAAATAAATTTCTCTCCCCCCCAATGTTTCTTTGCTGCATCAGTTGTTCATACATAAATTGATCATTGCCCAGAAATCCCAGATGGTCTCGGACAAACACCATGTAAGCCTGTGGAGCAATTTTCTTTTTCTGCCTTTAATTAAAAGAGCTTCCTCTTGGCAGATGACCAGGGAAAGGAAGAGGGAGCGCGAGTGATTCCAGTGAGCGGAAAAGAGCCAGGGAACTAAGAAATAAATTAATTAAAGGCAGCGTCTTACTTATTTTATTGCATAAGATTTTTACACCACCTGATAGTGAAAAAGGGAAACTGCCGAAACAAACCTCAAAAAAGACAAAGCAGTAGAATCGTCAAGAAAAATTTAAAACATCCCAACAAATGAAATCATCGATAAACTAAAAAATATGACAACATTCTACATGCCTGGTTAATCTTGTCTGCACTGGTATCAATAGGCAGGGAGTTCCAAAGTGTAGGTCCTGCCACACTAAAAGATAGAAGTGGCCAAGTGTCTTGTAAAGGAACATGTCCCGTGTAGGCCCTCCGTGAGCAGAAATTAGCCTGTCCCTGCGGACGCGGGTGGCGCTGTGGGTTAAACCACAGAGCCTAGGACTTGCTGATCAGAAGGTCGGCGGTTCGAATCCCTGCCATGGGGTGAGCTCCCATTGCTCAGTCCCTGCTCCTGCCAACCTAGCAGTTCGAAAGCACGTCAAAGTGCAAGTAAATAAATAGGTACCACTTCAGCGGGAAGGTAAACAGCGTTTCCGTACACTCCTCTGGTTCGCCAAAAGCGGCTTAGTCATGCTGGCCACATGACCCGGAAGCTGTACGCCAGCTCCCTCGGCCAGTAAAGCGAGATGAGCGCCACAACTCCAGAGTCGGTCACAACTGGTCCTAAATGGTCATGGGTCCTTACCTTGCCACATCCCAAAACCGAGTTTTCTTTCTCACCCCCCAGTCTTCAAATTTTACTTCCTCCCCTGAAGATTCTGGGGAGGGAGCTGGTGAAACTTCAAACCTTCAGACCCCTGCAAGCCTACACACATATAAATGGTCTTGACTCCTGTTAAGTAGGGAGAGGTGAAACCCTCGTGATCCCTCAGCTCTCTGCCCCTTACATACAAGCAGAGGCCTCCTACATGGGCTCCCAGTACATTTCTGAGCACAATTCAAAGTGTTGGTGCTGACCTTGAAAGCCCTAAACGGCCTCAGTCCAGTATCCCTGAAGGAGCGTCTCCACCCCCATCCTTCAGCCCAGACACTGAGGTCCAGCTCCGAGGACCTTCTGGCGGTTCCCTCCCTGCTAGAAGCCAAGTTACAGGGAACCAGGCAGAGGGCCTTCTCGGTCGTGACACCTGCGGAACGCCCTCCCACCAGATGTCAAAGAGAAAAATAACTACTAAACTTTCAGAAGACATCTGAAGGCAGCCCTGTTTAGGGAAGCTTTTAATGTTTATTAGGTTATTGTATTTTAGTGTTCCATTGGAAGCTGCCCAGAGTGGCTGGGGAATAAATAATAAATTATGTTGTTGTTGTTGTTGTTGTTGTTATTATTATTATTATTATTATCCTTGACCTGACCGCTGTCAAATACTAAGCAGGCAACATTTGGTCGTCCATTTGGCCAGCGTTTCAAACCAAGGTGAAATCACTCATTTGACCACAGATAATCTGTTGTGTTTTGCTTGAGGTTGGAGACAGATTTAGGATAAAAGAGAGATTTTTTGTTTTCCAAAACGGGGTTGGGGTTATCAGCCATTACTTGCTGTTGTAGTTCCTTTGAGCCTGAAACCTACGTACCCCTTAGGAAAGCCTGATGTAGCTAAGTTTGCGATCTCCTCCTACACTCCACCTTTACGATGGTCACTAAATGGAGACCTTGTGGCCTTAGCCTCAAGCAAACTTCGCCCACCCCTTTGCTGAACATACAGCTTATGGGAGAATAGCTTGGACGTTTGCTCACTATCTGGGGACATTTTGATTGGCTGCTGATACAGAATGTGTCTGCCTGTTGATTCTATTCATCCCGCCCCCATTAGATTAGGATATCTTGATTTAAGCCAAGCTCTGATTTCCTCCTGAAAAGACAGACAGATATAATAAGACAGAAACCCAAAAGTGAAGTGAAAAAGGAATGGGAGTGTCTAAATGAATACCTTAAAAGTCAAGGTTCGAGGACAGAAATCTGGCTGAGTCTGGAATAACCTTGTGAAGTGAAAGGATAAGAAAGAGGGATTTATATCTAGATGCTAGGATAGAGATGATAAGGGAAACAGGAAGACACAATGAGAGGTAAAGGAGGTGTTTTCTTTTTAGTGTTTATATTATTAACTTGTAAGATATGTTGGGTTTTGTGTGTTGTTGTTTTTTATGTTTTTCATGTTTTGTGGAAAATATTAATAAAATATAAAAATTAAAAATTAAAAAAAAAGAAAAAGAAAAGACAAACTTTCGATTATCTTTTCACTTGTTATGGGAAGAGCAGGAAGACCCTTGCAGGGAAAAGCTGCAGACTTTGCGACTCACTATAGATCTCTTTCCGTGAAGCCCACCCAAGGTTGCAAAGCTGAAGGTGGTGCTGTTGGGCATGCAACTCTTTTCCACGGAAAATCTGAACAGGACTCTCACATGGATGAGAGGTTGTCTTAAGGCGAGAAAGCTCTGTTTGACTTGGGTCCTTCTTGTTCGTTTCTTTCCAGGGGACAGACGCAAAGAGCCCCGATAAGCGGACCTCCCCTTTGAAGCCCCCGTCCGCTACGACTCCTCGGCCGGCCACAAAAAGCAGCCCAGCCACTCCCAGGCCGTCGACGGCACTTGCAAGTACGAATGCGCCGAGTGCAAGGAGCACGGCCACTTCCCCACCCAAGAGGCCCTCCAGTGAGTATTCCTCTGCCCCAAACTTGCTGGGAAAAGGGCCGTTTGTTTTGGAAGCTGCACGCTCTTGCATTGCGGCTTTGCTAATTCAGCAACCTAGGGACATGTAGCTCAGTGGGTAGAGCCTCTGCTTTGCACGCAAAAGGTTCCGGATTCAGTACCCAGTGGCATCTTCAGGTCTGGAAGCGTCCTTTTTCTGAAACCCTGGAGAGGCCCAGCTGGTGAGTGTAGCAGACATGGCCAAGCTAGATGGACCCAGCAAGAAAGGACTTCTCCACGCGGTTCATTGTTAACCTGTGGAACTGCCTCCCACTAGAGGCAGTGATGGCCACCTAGATGGCTTTAGGAGAGGATGAGACAAATTCATGCAGGTGAAGGATATCGATGGCTACAGTTGGCAGCCGCAATGCTTCTGAACGCCAGTTGCTGGAAACCCTAAGGCAGAATAATGTGCCTTGTGCCAGAATCCTACTTGCAAGTTTCCCAAAAGAGGCATCGAGGCATCTAGTTGGCTACTGGGAAATCAAGATGCTGTACTAGAAGGCCATTGGCCTGATCCTGCAGGCTGCTATGTCTGACTCCATCTAAGGCAGCTTCTAACGTATTTGTGTGTGTGTTAAATGTCAACCCCAGGGACAGAGGAACAGGACCTTGCTGTTAGTTAGCCCAGCCTGTGTATGATCTGGGCTGTATACTGCTTCAAGCTTAAATTTCTAAATCTACCAGTGGAGAAATATTAGACTGAAGCTCATAAACCAACCGTGCTCTGTGTATGGTTTGCTTGATAAATAGCACTGTGCAGAACTTCTAGTCGTTTCCCACAGTGGGAAAAACAAGCAATTCTTGCAGTGTTTACACTGGGTCATCACAGTCGTGGATTTCTTCTTTGTCTTATGAGTTTCCCAGTGGCTGGCCGCTGCCTGAGTCCCTTTGTCCAATCCAGCAAGTCGGTTTCTCACTGCTTTGCTGTCGGTGCAGGATTTGATCTACCCTGACACTGAATATATATGAGTTTCCCCTGCCTTGTGTGGAGCGTAGCGCATTGCGAGTTGCAATTCTTAAGAGCAATGTGTCTCTTCAGATCAGAGAGAGGGAGAGAATGGCCAACTGCCTTGGAGGCTATTTTGGGCTTAGAAGAGATGGAAAACGGTGACAACACTAGGAATTGCATTTTAAAATGGCTAGGTTAGAGCCATTGAAATAAATAGATTTAAGTAACAAATCCATTTATTTCAGCAGGTCTCCTCTGAACATAACATAGTTTGTGTCTCACCCCTAGCATTTGTGTTGCCTGCTTCAACTGCACATTCTCTCTTTCTTTGCTTTTTTATTGATACATATATGCTGCTTACATCCCAAAATGCCTATGTAGATGGTACACAATTAGCATCCAGGAGGTAACATGATGTGGGTGGTGGAGCCCAAGGTGGCATGCACAGTTCTCCCAATTTTTTAGCCTCAAAACAACCCAGAGAGGTAGGTTAGGCTGAGAGAGCGTGACTTGCCCAAGGTCATTCAGTGAGTTCCCTTAGCTGAGCGGGGATTGGAACCTGGGTTTCCCGCGGGTGGCGCTGTGGGTTAAACCACAGAGCCTAGGGCTTGCCGATCAGAAGGTCGGCGGTTTGAATCCCCGCGACGGGGTGAGCTCCCATTGCTCGGTCTCTGCTCCTGCCAACCTAGCAGTTCGAAAGCACATCAAAGTGCAAGTAGATAAATAGGTACCACTCTGGCGGGAAGGTAAACAGTGTTTCTGTGTGCTGCTCTGGTTCGCCAGAAGCGGCTTAGTCATGCTGGCCACATGACCCGGAAGCTGTACGCCGGCTCCCTCGGCCAATAAAGCGAGATGAGCGCCGCAACCCCAGAGTCGGCCGCGACTGGACCTACGACTCGGCCACGACTGGTCAGGGGTCCCTTTACCTTTACCTTCCCTAGTCCAGCACACTAACCACTACACCATACTGCCATGAGAGAAGTGTAGGGTGTTGGGAATCCTGACAGGGGCGGTGGTAGCCTGCTTAGCTGTGGCACCAGCAAGGCCCTGCCATGGACTGGCCCCAGCAGAGCAGAGGTTCAGCTCGGCTGCTGTCTTTGTGTGTTGTGCAGCCATCAAGACAGACGCAAAACCTGCCGATGCCAAGAAGACCGTCGCAAAATCGCCATCAGGTAACCCGCTCTCCCTGCTTTGCTTCCTGCTTGCTTCTTTGGGTGGCCACGTGGGGCTTCTTCGGGTGGCTCTGCGGCTTCCCCTGCTGACGGCCCTCTCTTCTTTTTCTTCCTCCTCCTCCTTCTGTTCCTCCTTCGGCAGCCGACCTCAGCCGTCCAAAGAGCGCCCCGGCCTCCACCGCTGCCAAAAGCAGCGCCACCACCCCGACGGCTGCTGCCCCCGGCCTGCCCGGAGCAGCCGCTAGCCGGCCCAAGCCAGCCACGCCCAGGCTCTCGGGGACTGGGAGCTCTGCCGCTGAGCCCAAGAAGGCGTCCACGCTCAAAACCGCACCAAAAACCAGCCCCATTGCCAAGCCTTCCCGGCCCCCCACCAGTAGCGTGTCGGCCCCCGACCTGAAGAACGTCCGCTCCAAGATCGGCTCCACGGACAACATCAAGCACCAGCCTGGCGGAGGACGGGTAAGTCCCCCTGCCCCATATCTCTCTGGGTGATTGGTTGCCTGTGCTCACATGACACACTCCCAGCAATGATGGATCACAACTCCCATGATCCCTGTGTGTTGGTCATGCTGGCTGGGGTGGATGGGAGTTGAAATCCAGAGAACAGTGGCTTTCCAGGTGCTGCTAGACTACAACTCCCAGCAGCCTTAGCCAGCATGGTGAACGGCTAAGGATCATGGGAGTTGTAGTCCAGCAAAACCTCCAGATAGGCGCAGACTGCCATGTCCTTCTTGTAGAAGGAGCTGCTGCTGCTGCTGTCCTCAAGCCCCTCACACTTGCTGTAGCTGCCAGCCTTAGTTCTTTTTTGCAGCAGAGAAGCGGGTGCTTTGGATCTGGAAACGCAGAGCTCAGACCTCTGGGGGGGTTGCTTTCGGAGGAAAGGATTTGGTCCAGCCAGGAGAGTGTTTGTAGGGCGGGCAAAGAGCTTTTTGATGTGGCTCTCTTACAGAGCCCCCTTTTGGCTGCTGCTGTGTTCTGCAGGTTTGGCTAATCCCCAAATTTTCAGGGTGAGAGATTGGTCCCTCTGTAGAGGTGTCATCTTTGTGTGGCCAAACACATCTCAGATTATTGAGCCTCTGCTTGCTCTCCGTTTCTCATGGACAGCATGAAAGACCAGTGGAACAGTTCTCTGTTTGGATTAATTTTGTGAGATCCCTCTTGCGGGGGCGGAATCAGGGCCTTAAATCTGCTGGGGTTCTTATGTTGCCCTGGTTGGCTGGGCCTCAAACCCAATGTTTACTTGGGGCAACCAAGGGCTTATTAATGCATTCACTTCCCCTTCAGTACCAACCCACAGACTCTCCCCCGCCTTAAATCTGCTAACATGCTGGAAGAGATGGGTTGAAATATTGGGGCTTTAGATCTCTCCCTGTGGATAAGTGGCGGGGCGATTTGTGTGCTTCATCTGCAAGGATGGAAACATCAGGACCCCTAAAAGAGATTTTGGGTCCCACCCATGGGGGAGAGGTGGCTGTCCTTTGTTCTCAACTCCCTTCCAAACCAGGATCAGAAACTGCATCATCTTCAGCAGTGCCAAAGAGAATGGTAATGGGCATATCAGTGTCCATAGAGTCCATAGTTCCCTTCAGAGCTTCATTGATATGTGCATGGCCCAAGGCTTGTCAGCAAGATTCTCCAGTAGTCGAAATGTCCTGGACTTCCTGGGATTCAGGACCAGCATTATGAGGCCTCAGACAGAACACCCACTTGAGGCCAGCGTACACAAATTAACGTGACATTTGCCTAAGGGGCAGGTGGGGCTCGTCCGCCTGGGAAGGTAGCTCTGATCCTAAACCTCCGCTGCTTTGTGGAATATATTTGGAAGAAGAAAGGGCTAAGGAATAAACCCTACACAAATCAGCCCAACTGGTGCTGGATATATTGCTCTGCTTTCTTTTGAACCATGTCAGTGAGGCCGAGAGGGTGATCTTATTGTCCAGGCAGCCCAGGACCTCCAGACACACTGCTCAGGATTGCACCCCAGGGTGGTCACTTAGGTGCCGCTAACACAGCGGTTTGACTTCACTCCTGCACTTCATTGTCTCTTGAGACAGACGGGCGCCAACAACAGCAATTGAGTCAGACCATTGGTCCACCGAACTCACTATGCTGGCTGACATCAGCTCTGCAAGTTTTTAGACAGGGACATTCCCAGACATACCTGGAGATTCCATTGGGCATTGAACCTGGGATGTTCTGAACGCAAAGCAGATGTTCCACCTCTGAGTTACGACAACCTTCCCATTTGCTGGCCCTTCCTAAAGCTGGTGCAAACCAGCCCTTAGCCACATTTAAGAGAAGCTGAAACAAAACAGTATTTTGACATGTCCCACAAGAAAGACCAGTGGGAAGAAAGGAAGTGAGCAAGACTGGCTTGAGCTGCTTTTGCTGCTGCTAGGAGCCAGGATCAGAGGGGAGACCCTCTGAATCCTGGCACCCCTTTGACTCTAGAGCTTCCACAGTCAAGAGATGTATTTTAATGGAATGCATGTTCACAGCCTAATTGTTCTCTCCCAGTTGGCTGCTCCCTCCAGAGTCTTCCCTCTGTTTGTGATGCATTAGAAGTATTTTTGATGGAGCAGGTTGCCTTGTCTTTAGGTGCCTTTACTTCAAAGAGCAGGAAGGCACCCCCTGTTGCTTAGACGTCCGCCAGCATCAGACACCAGCAGGGAGCATCTGGTTTCCTGCAGTGGCTGCTGAGTCTCTGACCTGTGTTTCCAGGCCTGAAACTGCTCAGTACCATCTGCACCATTGTCTCGTTGATCCCTAGGGTGGGCTTGAAGCAATCCGCCTTAACAGAACCCAGATTTGACTGCAAGAATATTTGGGGGTTAAAAGGGCCCCCCCAGAGGCTCACAGTGGCACAGGAATCTTACCTAATGCCGACAACAACCTGGTGTTTTTTTAAAAGAGTGGGAACCCCAGAAGATAAATGGTTTGTGGGCTTTCGAGAAATTAATTCCAACTTTCATCCAGGGACTGTTTTCAGGGTGGAGGTGTCAAGAGACTGTGC